CCCTCCTCCCTCAGACCCTCCTCCCTCGGACCCAGGGGTCCAGGCCCGTAGCCCACTCACCAGCGGTCTTGGCAGAGGAACCCACGGAGAAAGATCTGGTGGTGGAGACGGATTAAGCCCCACACACTTCGAACAGGAGCACCTGAGGAGGAGGGAGGCCGTTGGCGTCCGTTTGCGTTGCTCCGCCCTCCGTCCCGGGAGCCGCGCCCCGCGAGGACAGGAAGGTGGCGCGCAGCCCCGCGGGGCCCGGCCGTGACCCCGGGGAAGCCCCGCCCCCTCCTTCCTCCGGCTCCGTAAACTGTGTGGGCTGCGGCGGGCGGAGCCCAGCCAGAGTGCACGCCCCGCGGGCCGGCGTGGGCGCTAGTGTGAGCGTCACCCTGCGAGCACCGGGGTGCGGAGCGGGCGGCAGAGGGGTGGGCCCTGGGCGGCGGCTGCGGGGCGGGCGGCCCGGCCAGACCCGGCGTCTCCGCGCCTTATAAGGGCCTGGAGTCGGCTCAGGCATCTGGAACGCGTCGGGGACCTGGAGGCGGCGCCCGGACCCCCGCCCGCCTGCGGGGCTGCCCGCCCTCTCCCGATTTCCGGCGGTGGGGGTCCCCGACTCCCAGGTCCCAGGAGGGGAGTGTTGGAGGCCCCCATTTCTGGATCCCTATAAAGAAGGCTGAGAGCCCCCCCCAGAGCATCTCTAAGACCGGAGCGGGCGGAGACCCTGGCCTCTGAGGGGCTCGGGCTCCAGGCCAGAAACTGCACGCGGTGCTGGAGTCAGGCCCGAGGCCCAGCCACGCCTCCCACGGGCTCCCTGAACCCCAGTCGGGGCCTGCGGGAGCCCCGGAGAGGCGCCACCCGAAGCCAGACGCTGCCCGCCCCCACGCCCCTGCGGGACCCCCGAAGGAGAAGGAAGTAGGGACTGGCCCAGCGTCCCGCCCTCTGGGAAGCGGGCACTGCCCCGCCCCGAGCAGGAGGAGAACGAGCGAGGGCGTCACTCATTCAGTCCCCCGTGCTGGGTGGGCGCGCCGGGGAGGGAGCGCCATGGGGACCGGGCCACCCCGCCCTTAGGGCTCCTGCAGTCGCCTGAGGTCAGAGCTCAGGAATGCGCCGCCGGAGCGTAGAGGGTGAGGAAACACCCCTCCAGGCCTCCTGGCAGAGCACCGGGCTCCCCGGGCCCTCAGTGTCCTCCCTCCTCTGCTCCAGACGCCACACCCATCGCTCACGCCCAGAATCGGGCCCCGGAACCCCAGCCTCGATTCTCAGCGCCCAGAGATGCGGGACGCAGCCCTGTCATCTCCTCGTTTCTCAGCTCCATCTACACTTTGGGAGCACGGGGCTGGATTTTAACACCCCCTCCCTCGGGCCTTCAGGAGCCCAAAGTTCTCATTCTGCCTGTCCCCTGGATGCGGAGGGGTCAGCAATTCTGAATTCTTTACATTCTCATTCCCAAACCCAGGACACCTAACCCCAAGCTCTTCCCCCACTAAAGGATCTCCACGTACCAGATTCCAGCCTCCAACTGGGGTACCTACGAGTCCCCATCTCTTTACTCCCGCAGACCCAGGAATCCAGACCCGCAGCCCTTCCTCCCTCAGTCTCAGGAGTCCAGCCAGACCCCAGCTCTCTCCTCCCTGGGACCCAGGAGTCCAGGACCCAGCCCCTCCTCCCTCAGACTCAGGAGTCCAGGCCCCAGTCCTCCTCCCTCGGACCCAGGAGTCCAGGCCCCCAGCCCCCCCCCCCCCCGGAGGCAGGAGTCCAGGCCCCCAGCCCCACCCCCTCGGACCCAGGGGCCCAGGCCCCCAGCCCCTCCCCCCTCGGACCCAGGAGTCCAGGCCCCAGCCCC